AAGAATAAAAGACAAATAAGGCCGATATATTCTCTTATTTTGCTTATTATTGAGTTATGGTATTGTAGGAGGACTCTTTTTCAATCATCTCCTAACCATCAACACAGAGCCAGACCATCAGATTTTCAGTCTTTTTCAGAATCTATAAAGTCTCGACTTAGTGCAATGTCAATGAGGTATCTGGAAACTCTAATATTATCTCTTATAATTGTTCAGGTGACCTCTGAAAAAGAAAATGTTATTTGTTTGTAAGCCCTATTTACTTGTTTTTATCGTTGTTTTTTAGATACAAAGAATCTTTAACAAAGAGTTCAAGGGGTTGGAAGGAGAAGTTTTTCTCTCGCAACAGTTCGACATCAGACCATGGTCTGGAATCTAGGAATGACATCAGTGCAGCTGTTGCCACTGTATCACACCTGATGGAGCATCTGGAAACCACAGATAGCAGAGCCAGTTCTGCTGAATCAAATATATTGGAGGAGACTTTACCTGCTGGACGTGCTGAGCAGCATATACCTGAGATTGATGATACCCATTCTTTAAATGAGAATAATAGGCAAGCCCCATGTGCTGCAAGTTCTGGTTCAAACTAAGTTTTGAATGAATCAGAGCATTTTCTCTTCAAGGTAACTTGTCTTCTCTAAAAGTTCCAATTCATTTTAGTCTCTCCACCCTACTCCAAAACCCCCCAAAAAAAATTAAAAGAAAAGAGAAACCTAGAACAAAACAGAAGGGGAGAAAGAACGTTAGAGAAAAGAGAAGTTTTGTCCATGAATATTACATGCTGATGGCTTTGTAGTCCCCAATGGCTTCAGGGCGCTTAGCACCTAGTGCTGCTATATCTGATGATAGGAGCTGCCTATTGTATGTCAAGTGTATACTGATTGACACAGAAAAGCCTTGTTGTGTCGAGCAAGTTGGTGTGGCAGTATAGCATTGAGCAAATTGACTGACCTTAATTGACGTGGCATCTGCTGCTACCTGGAATATCGACATGACTATAAGGTATCTCTATTATGAGATGTATATTTTGGTCAGTGTCGGTATAAAGAGACCATTGCTATTTTGAGGATAAACTTTATCCTCATCTTTGTAAATTTCAGATGGACCACCAGAACTTGTATTTTTGGTATATAAAAGTGCATTGGGAGGCTTGCAACACATGCTAGAGTTCTTGGACTCTCATATGTAAATTGTGAAGTCTTAGAATTCCCAATCACTTTGTAACATGTTATTACCTTGTTGTTGCTATGAAATTAATAAAAATTATTCTGCCTATAAAAAATATGGAGAGAGACCTTCAATTAACGAGAATTTGATGTATGGTGTCTGAAGAGGATGCTAGATGATATTATAATCAATCTAGTACCAGTGTGAAACCTTACAATCGAGTTGATTTATATGGGGATATGAGTAGCAGGCTAGTGGTCCCACCCCAAAAATGTTTTGAAAAAGAAAAAGAAAAAAAAAGTTGGTTTATGTAGTGCAGTTGCTTTAGCTAAATGTTTTTTTGCTTTCAAGGAGCCGTTTTTTCCCTTTATATTTTTCTTTATTATGTTTCGAGTTTTTTATCTGTGGTGGTGATGACATGACCTGACTATCAATGGAGGAGTATGGGTTTTGAAGTAGCTTACATGGTGTGAGCTCTCATCCTTCACCAGTTGGTTAGGGATCAAACCTGACTGTGCCGTCTATGAACCCTGAGAACCTTGTTGTGGATGTAGCCTCTTGAGAAAAGCCCTTCTGCTTTTACGAGTATGGTCTAGAATGGTTTTCTTTAGTCACCTTTTTCCTGTTAAAGGCCTTCAAAATTGCTGCTGGGTGATAAATAAGTAGAGAACCTAATGATGTGATCACTGTTCTTCAGCAGTAGTGGGGTTCTCTTTGGCCTTTTTTCCCCCCGAATGGCCTAGGGCGTTTAGACAATTGAGCTTGTATATTATATCATGAGTATAGTAAATTTAGAAAAGAAAAGAAAAAAGAAGGGGGGGCAGGAAAGGTTTCTTAATGAGTTGTTTGGTAGCAATTTGCAGGTTTGATGCATATGACTGCTTCCTCTAGAATGATTTATATGCTTTTCAACCTAACACGCAGTTACAATCTTATGGGGGAATTTAGCGATCTTCCTCTTGCTCTGTGCCCCCTTAAACGAATTTGTGTTCTTTGCCCTTGTGACAACTTTACTATGTGTCTTAAATTTCTTTATCTACGGACATCCTTTCAGACTTTGAATTACTGCTCTTCCCTTGGCCGTAGGTTCTGCAATGCACTGCCTAATATTGGTTAATTAACTTTGTGGAAGATTCCATTTTTGTATCATGGATATTTTGAACTTCTAAGAAGCTTTGGCTAAACTATGGCGCTTCTATGCTAGGAATAGAAGTAGTGTGCAGAATTGTTCCTGATGATTTTCTTACTTTCATAGTGAATTGTTGTGACCAGACAGTTCTCAGGTAAGTCGATAAGGCACTGATAAATGCTAAAGCTAAAATTTTGTGATCCAAGTTTCCAAAGCTGGTTAGTTTCACCATCATGAAGAACTTGTCAAACATCTATGCGGATATTATTTTCTGACCAATATCAAGCCCTGTTTGAAGTGATCTTACTAACACCATAGACAGAGAAGTTTTTGGTGTCTTCCTATGACTTCCTTGTAGCACTATACAGTACAAACCTGAATTCCTCTAATCAGCTAGCAGAAGGAAGGTTATATTATCTGCATTTTTCTTGCAGTTCCTTACGTTCTAACATAATTTTTGGTCTTTTTATTCTGTCTGGATAAACAACACTGTCTGTCTATTACAATGAATGTTTCCCTGCTGCAGGTGAATTTCTTGCCAAGACCAATGATATATGGTTTGCATCTTATTGGATCTGTGGCAAATCCTAATACGTTGAAGTGCAACACTGAATGTAGCCTGCTTCAATAAAATAGGAGGGATGGATGTTATCATTTGGTCGAAGCCGTATATATGTATGATAATATAGATGTAAATTGGCCCATTTTGGATAGTGCTGATGAATACAACTGTTTTCTTTAATCTCACATGAACCCTCCTTTGTAATCTTTTCTAGAAATTGTTGGACAGTTACTTGACCAAATCTTTTCTGTGTCCAGTAGCACTGCACGTTCACTTTTAATAGAGTTTTGAGTAAACGTTGAATATGTATATTGATTAATCATTTTCAAGGTGCTTTTACTTCTGTAATGTTTAGATGTATGACTTGTGATCACATAAGGAGCCTTCCTATCTTTGTACGCACTAGAACTTTATATTGTAAAAGCTTTTTATGATTTTAATTCTTTTTTCTTGCTAAGTTTTATATCTAGAGTTTTGTGTTTTGGCTTGCAAGTGGTTACACAAAAGGGCAGATGAAACGGGTGGCAAATCAAGTGGTGTTTGCACTTGTTTTTTCTTTGTGATTTTGAAGCGCAAGGTGTACGTATATATGCAACTTGTTCTCGGAGGTGGCTTGGTTGCGCTGTGGATCTATCAAAAACTCATTAATTTGTTTCATCCCATTTTATTTATTAGGACGAGAAAGAGGCTGTGAGTCATTGGGGATATGGATTGAAAAAATGAAAAAGCCTCGATCCTGACTCAGAAACAAATAGGATGCGAGGCGAGAGTCCTCCATTGAAAGGGGAAAAAGAGGGGTGGGGCTTCTTTCTAGGGGATCGCCTTACACAACTTTAGAAAGGAGAGAATTTCAGAAACACAACTTTAATATGTGTCACACAAAAGCAAAAACAGCGAAACTTGTATAGTTTATTGTAAATAACAACGAGTTGGTCTCTGAAACCAAAGGATTATTCTAAAACCAGCCTCCAAAACAATAAAATGTCCAGGGAGAACAGAGTCGTTTGGTCTTTTCTCTTTTCGTCAGTCAGCTAATAAAGTTTTCAACAGAATGCCAGAACATCATTTTGCATTACACGGCTGGTCACCAAAAGTACAGAGACATAGAAGCTACATAGGTACTGGAAGCAGACTGCATCAGGATAGCAAGACAATCTGAATAATGAGACTACTCAAATTTCTTAATTAGAGAGAGGTCAGTTAGCATTTTCTCGATTGCTTCCTCGTCAAGTGCGCGTCCCCTATTCTGTAAACACAAGAAGGATGTCACTTAGCCCGAGTTCGATAAAAAGAAATAAGAAGATTTACTGCTGGATAACAATTGAGGAAAATGAAAACATTTAGGATTTGACTCCGAACCAAAGCTCATTTTTCTAAAGATCCTTCAGCCTTCTGGTGAACCAATATCCGCATACAGGACGTACAAGCAGCTCTAAATAAGGTTGATGCTATGCCTCAAAACAAATGAAACACCAAATAATACACATTGAAACTAAGATATCAGAATTTCAAAACCAGCCACGAAATGTAAGAACTCTTGAACGTTAAATCCCATAATAATACAATCAAAAGCACCCTTATCGGTGCAGAAATGGTTTAAGTCCCATCTCAAGCACTTTGGTTGTGTTCTTTAAGTTGATAAATTTCTGAAATTACTACAACTCTAGATATCTGCAATCCTATAATTCTTATGTTAGAATCTGGAGTTCTCTATGAGATGAATTACTACAGAACAGCACCAAATGTGGTGAGAACCGAGATAATATATTTTCACACAAGCCAGAAGTGCATGCAGCCGAAAGCTACGCAATGAAATACACCAAGGAAACCACTCCCGAAATGTTTAAGATACGAAACCCAGATTTGTAGTGATTTGACATGGTTTCATAACATTTCAAGTCCTTGTCATGATCCTTTTTTCTTAAACTTCACACATCTCATTTCAAATACTAATTCATATATTGTTAACTAGTTACTAACTCAAAAAAACATTACGTTGACAAGCTGTCTGGCTTTAAATAAACATGATGACAGATTTGAATCAGCTGGTCACTATTTCTAGCTCAATTATCTGTCATGCTTGGTCATGTTGACTGAGTTATAAACAATGATCCTGGGCTTCAGTAAAAGCTAAAGGCCCTAGATCAGAAATAGATTGGGCAACAAAACGAGCAAGCACTGGCAGTGGAGGGGCAGAGAGAGTATTGTTATATCTTGCTTGTAAAATTGACCAAAAATCAACTAACATTGAATGGAGATGACACGTGAGTACCTTGATGGATGGGACCATGGCAATACCTTCCTCAACAGTCTCTGGGCAAAGATTCCCCAGAACACAGAGCTGCACAATATTCAAACTTATAAACTGCAGTTTCCATGAAGATATAAAGAGAAGTAAGAGGATAAAGTAATTAAAAAAAATTAAAAAGGACAGATACTTACCTCGAATTCAGCAAGTGGATACCTACTAAGGATCCTGAATTGAGGTTAAGGTTTACATTCTATGAAAGGACTGGTTCTTGTATTTTCACATATGCATGAATGTCAAAAAGAGATATACTGAAGTTTTTCACTATAAGCCACAGGTAGGAGGATACTCTCGAGCTTGTCTAACAGCATCAGGGTTCTTGTACCGACTGAAACGCTTCACATATTGCAGTGACTTTTCAAATACCCTAGACGACAAAGGTAACCAATTAACCAAACTTGAGAACGTAATAGCTAAGCATATATTATCTCTCCACACATATATAGATGCCGAAAGCATAAACCACTTCATTAGACTCCTGCCTCCCTTTTAAAAAGGTGGGAGAGAGAGTCAGAGAGAGCATATTTCAACATCAGGGTAGTATAGTTTCCCATAAGAAAATCTCATTGCATTTTGCCTAAATATGAACATGAGAATTCCACAAAGTGGTTGTTAACAGTTGATATGAAGGAGACATTACAACTTATCGCAGACACATCGTGAACGGAGCAGATTACCCATTTTCTTATGATTAATACTTGTACTGATGTGTGGGGAAAACCGATACAAGAGGTATACCAAAAGAGTAAAGAACCTACACCAAAAAATGATGCTCTAGGAATCTCAGCCAAGCACAGAATACCAACTATTTCATATCAGATAATCCAATTTGGATTTTAAACAATCTACTGAAGCATGGCAAAGTCTGAGCATTTACAGACATATCCTGGCCATCTAGATTTATACACATACTGCGAAATCTGATTTGTTGGATCTTCAGACATCTGTTGAAGCTGCTCGTACTTGTGTTCAAGAATCAACGCGACTTCACAATTCATTAGACATTTGGCCTTCAAAAACTCTGAAACCAAAGTAACAAAAAAACTTATTGAACTTCATCAACAGATATGCTGTTTGTATGCTTATGAACAGGAGAAAGACTACAGACTTTACACGAACTTCTACCATGAATAATTGGAGTAAAGCTGGTGGGATGATGGGTGGGGTGGAAGGTGAAGGGCCAACATTCTTCTCAATGATTGGCTAACAAAGGGTGGGGGCACACAATTAACCACCTCCATCCAGCTTCGCAGAATGAAAATGTGAGCGGAGAAATTGTCTTTTAGCTTATAACTATAGGATTTAATATGGAAATGGATTCAGAAAATTATCTTCATACTTAGCAGAGTATCTTCATGTCAACTCAATCTCTTCCCATTCACGTGGTCCACATAACTGCTCAAGGAGTGTCAACTCAATCCCCTTTTCTGCTTTCAGGGCCAAAATAATGCCTCCACAGAATTTGGCATTACCTAGCAATGGCCAAAAGGATTCAGCACAAGTTCCATTCACCACTGATGAGAATCTTCAACATCCTCTCCCATTTCTTTGCACAAGACACACCAACTGACAAGCGTTCCTCTTCACTTCCTAAAATTCTCATCCGTAAATATGGCACTCCAAGTAGCTGTCAAATTAGAAAAATTGACCTCCTTCAGAACCGTACTGCCTCAAACTGTCTGGGTAGGATTCAGTATACTGGTATAGAAAGACTAACGTAAAAGACTGGCTAATCCACCTAAAGGAGTGCCTCCCCTCCTCTCGATCTTGTATTCCTCCTAAATTTCACATTTCTCAAAGAAAAAGACGAATGCAGTACACTAATATAATTTCCTCCACATCATGCCTCAAAAATAGGATCTATTCCCCGAACAGATAATTTCATCTCCAAACTTATAGAAAACAATTTCAGAGAGTAACTAACAAGTAGGTAATGCTTTTAAGAGGCTCATCAGAATATGGATGCTAAAAAGTTTAAATTAGGCATATAGTGAAGCTAGCATTAATGATCAGCATCTATGTAAAAAAAAAAAAAGCAGCCTGTTTCTTTTGCCAAATAAAAACAAATTGTAATATCAAGTATTTTCTCACGAACATTTAAACCAAAAGAAAGAATCACATGCACCATATTGTAACCTCAGCCAAATATTGTACTCCATCCTGCATTATACTAGAAAAGATCCTAGACGCAACACCAA